TTTTTTTTTTGGTACCGGGGATCGAACTCGGGTCCTTGTGCTTGCGAAGCAGGCGGCAGAACCACTGAGCTAAATCCCCAGCTAAACTCAGTATCTTAATGATACAAATCTTCTCCAAACCTGTAAATCCAATGCAATTTGAATCAAATCCTAAACTCAGTACCCTAATGGCATCAACTATGGTATACTGTTCAACATATTAATTCAAAGCAATTTCAGTAAAATTCAAATTGGACTTTTCTGGAATATGACAAGTTGATTCTAAAATGTATATAAAAGTTATGGACCATAACTTTTTAATAAGTTATGAAAAAAATGACTGAATAATTTGGAAGAAAAAAGTTCTGAATAGAGCTACTATATATAAAGTGAACACAAACCACTAACTACAAGATACATGTAATACAACAATAAATAGTAAACAAAAACCCAAAATAAACCATGGAAGACAACACAACATGTTGCTTATAGTTATGAGTAAAAGGGCAAAATACGCATGAGAATGATAAACACCAAACTTAAGGAAAATGGAAGAGTACATGTGGGGCTTCAACTATACCTGCAATGTTTTTTTTTTATAAGAATAGAGAACTAATGCAATTATGATAAAATGTTAAAATACTAAAGCTCATTCATGAATGAGTACATTGGTTCTTATTAGTTTTTGTATTTTTTGTAGTTTGAAATATTTCATAATTTTTTGGACAATGAAAATGCTTGACAGTAAAATTAAAATTGATCAATTAAAATTAAAATTAATTAAAATTAGACAAAATGCTAATTTTCTTTAAAATAAAAATAGAATTTTCCCCCTTCAATTAGCACTCTTCAGGAAATTAGCTATTGTGATTATGTTAGACCTTACTTTGATATTTGGTTTTCATGTGGGGATTACTTACAGACAGTTAAGCACATAGTAAACTTTAGATCTATCAGTCATTAGAGAAAAAAATTGTAATCTTCTGTAATATAAAATGAATTTCCTCTATCCAACTTATAAATATTATGAAAAATATTTGGAGCTGGGCATGGTTGTGCCTGCCTTTAATCCCAGCCCTCTGGGAGACTGATGCAGAAGGATTGCAAGTTTGAGCCTAGCCTGGGTAACTTGGTAAAATCCTGTCTGAAAATAAAAAATAAAAAAGGATTAGCATGTAGCTTAGAGCAAAATCGCTGGGTATAATCTCCAATATTGGAAAAAAAAACAAAGGGAAAGAAAATTTGGCTTGTATTTTTAAGACTGTTCAGAATTGAAATAGTTAATTTGGGCAGATTACAACTCTGTGGTATGTAAAAAATATATTTACTACATAAATTCCATTTTTCTGCTGTTTCCTAATTTTAGATCCTAATGTGTCTAAAATAAGTGACTGAAATTTGTTCCCTCTAGTGTCTACAAATTAAGATTCTTTAGCAACAAACACTAATGATTTTCCAAAACTTTACAGTAATAAAATTTGGTGGTAAAGGTTGAAACAATGCTTATAACACCTGCTAAATTACAGAAATATTTTATATTAATTAGAGATTTTGAAAACATATTACTTATTCAAAAATTGTTTATAAATGAACATAACAAACATTGTATTTGAGAATACAACCACAGAAAGCAAACTGAATTTCAAGCACATTTTTCAGAAATACATTACATACTTTACTTTTTACTTTGTTTTTGAGACAGGGCTTGCTATATAGCCCAGTCTGACCTTGAACTTGCAATCCTCCTGCTTCAGCCTTGACACCTGGCCGATTTCTTTACATATTCCAAGTCCTACACTTTAAGGCTGGAACTAAAACATTATAAGAATAATTGTATTTGAAAGCAACTGTGTTAAATCATATGATAATAATACTTACTAAATATAAACTTTCCAGTATTAAAGAGAAAATTAGACATAAGCACCCAATAAACTATCATTGCTCCAATGAGAGACACCAAGGAGCAAAGGAGACTTGACCACTGGCCAAAGGAACCAAAATAGTGTCTGCAGACATCTGGATATTCCCAGGTAGTGGTATCCAATGAACCTAGATAAAAATAAAAGAGAAGGGATAAAAATAAATGTTGATCTAGGGGCCGGGTATATAGCTCAGTGGCACTGTGCCTGCCTGGCAAGAGTAAGGTCCTGAGTTAGATTCCCGATATCTCCCCAAAATAAATAAATAAATGTTGATCATATATTTCATATTCATAATTTGTGTTCCCCAAATTAACTCAGGATATTTAGCAAATGATTTCAGGTACTTTACCACCAGATATATGAACACATTATGATATAACAGCAATGAAAATATCATAGAACAAACATAAAGAAGAAATGTCAAGCAATGAATATAGGTAATCCAAAAAACAAAGCATCATAATCTTTCATAATGAACAAAAGCAAATGATAAACAAGAACTGACAAAGCCATCATTAAAAGACAGAAAACATTATTTAATATTTGACATATTGAGATAACAATATAGAGGAAAGTTCTCGAGTCATGCCACATGTCAGTTTAAATTTTAGATAACTGAGTTAAGAGTTAAAAAAATTAAATAACAGAAAAGTTAGAAAACATAGAAATAGAACATGAAAATTACCTTTTCTATCAACCAAATAAACAGAAATTACAATGGAAAAGATAGAAAAAAGTTCATAATACAAAAGCCATTCAAATACTGAATGAAAAAATTTATTAAAAATTACAGATAAAAGAGTTAATGCCAATATTACACAAAGAGCTTAGGAGATTTATAAAAGCACTAAAAGACTTGAGAAAAGGAATATGAACAAATAACACAAAGAAAAACACTATTTTGGAGGTATTAAAGCAAAGCAAACAAAACAAAGATGGAAACACAAAAAATAACAGCAAGAGTCACAAAAGCAGTATCATTTATTCACACTGATAACAGTATAAATGAATATAATTCTTAAAAATAAATTTAACAATTCTCCTCCTCTTTTTTTTTAATTTGGTGCTGTTGACTGAACCCAAGGCTATGTTTATAATAAAGACACACTCTACCACTGAGCTATACCTCCAGCCCATAATTTTCCTTATTTGTTGAAATTTAAAGTAATTCAAAAGAATGAAGATTAAATATACAACTTCTTAAATTTTCTTCTAATATTTTATTGCTTTTTTTCCATTTCGAAGTCTTTTAAGTCACCTGGAATACATTTTTATATAAGGTGCCATAAAAGTTTTTTTTTCAAAATGAATAACAAGTTGAATAGACACCAAATACATTAAATTCTTACTTAATTTGAGGTTATGTTCCTATTCCAACATTCTGATGATCTTTTTATCTATTTCTAACATAGTATATCTTAGCACCTGAAGTTTGATTCTCCCATACTTTTCTTCCTCAGCTCTGCTTGGGCATTCATTTGTTCATATTAACTTTAAGGTTATTTTTATTGAGGTCCAAAGTGAATTTTCATTGAAATAAAACTGAATTTATATATGTGACATTTTTAATGATACTAAATATTTCTGATAACATGGTATTTTTTTCATTGTTCAGATCTTTTTCTTTATTCTTAGGTTTTTTTGCTTTGTAATTGTAGTTATCATTTTTTGACCTTATATGTTGCTAATTTCTTTCTTGTTAATCTCTTATTAATTGTAGTAGTACTAGTGACTCAGAATCTCCAATTATCTTTTTGCTCATAATATAAGTTTATATAAGTCTTTTCTACTACGAAAATGCAGCAAAAAATAGTATAATCTCCAAAAACTCTATGAGCATTCTTGTTTTTGTTTTTTAGTGCAATTTAGCATTTTATCACTTTAGAATGATGCTGGTACTAGTTTGGGGATAAACAGACAATATACTGAAGTAGTGCCTTTCACTTGGAGTTTTAATGAGGAATTGGTGCTGATTTTTTCTTTAATTTGTTTATGTGGTGAACTATGTTAGATTTCTCAATAATAAAATATCCTTGCCTTACAGGAATAAACCATATATTAGACATAGGGTATTATTCTTCTGCAACTCCACCGATTCTATTTGATAATTATAAACAAGATTTACAGCTCTTTTCCTTTTTGGTATTTTCAAGCTTTGTATTAGGGTCGTTTTGACTTTGTAAAATGAATTGATGCAAGTTCATCTTTTAAATTGTGTGGAATAGTTTATGTAATATAAGGAATACCTGTTCTTTAACAGTTAAGAAGAGAGTTCACTGGATGCTATGTTCTCATTTTAAGAGACCCTGAATTAAGATAAAACCCTTACTGCATATGTTTAAAGAAGTCCTCCAAGTTCAATCAAAACTGAAACCAAAGAAATCAAAGGATAAACAAACTAATCACTAGGAACTAGAATGAATCTTCTCCCAAGACTTTTATTTATTTATTTTTCCCATTAAGTTTACTGGTACATTTTTGGTATAAAATACAGTTACATTCATCATTGGGATCTTGTACCTTTACATGAGTATCATGGTTCTTATTTTTTTCCCCTTCCCTTCACGCCCTCCATCCTTCTCTATTTGCAAAGACCTTGTTTCCATTTTTTTTCCTCTTTTCATATTTTTTCCTTTCCCTTTTTTCCCTTCCCCTACCCCTCACAATTCCCCTGCTCTTTTAGACCTTTTCTTCCTGTTACACAATATCAGTTA